CGTCATCTCCGCCTAACTACTGCAACTCCCTCCTGGCTGGTCTACCTGCATGTGCCATCCGACCTCTGCAGCTCATCCAGAATGCAGCGGCTCGTCTGGTCTTCAACCTTCCTAAATGTCTCCCACACCACTCCGCTCCTCCGCTCCCTTCACTGGCTTCCGGGTAACTGCTAGAATCCACTTCAAGACACTGGTACTTGCTTACCATGCTGTGAATGGATCTGGCCCTTCCTACATCCAGGACATGGTTTAAACCGTACACCCCAGCGCGTGCACTCCGCTCTGCATCAGCCAAACGACTCGCTTGCACCCTCGCTGCGAGGGGGACCCAAGTTCCCATCAGCGAAAAACACGTGGGTTTGCTGTCCTGGCTCCAAGATGGTGGAATGAGCTCCCCATTGACATCAGGACAGCAGATAGCTTACACACCTTCCGGCGCAACTGAAAACTGTTCTCTTTCGACTCCACTTCGAGCGATAGAACTATTAACGAAGCACTTTTAAACTAATAAAGGACTGGCTTATCTAAAGCCAGTTGAGCAGCACTTGAAATGTTTGGCTCTATGAAACCTGATGTACTTTATGATTCTGTTTTCTTCAAGTTTGTGTCTTCCTGGTCGAATGTACGTAAGTCGCTTTGGATAAAAGCGTCAGCTAAATGCAATGTAATGTAATGTAATTAATTGAGCATTTGACAGAACTGATGAGCGACCACAGCCTTTCTGAGCATCCTTCACATGTTAGTTAGTTTGTTTTGTTGCAATGAACGACACAGGAGGACAGAGAGGATCGCTTTGATTTCTTTACTGAGAAGCATTGATTCTGTTCTCCAAATAACACATTTGCAATCTTTAAAATAACAAAGAACGAAGGTGATAAAATAAAAACATTAAAACTCCTGAAAACGATCTGAACAGTTTTTAGTTTTAAAGGAGAAGATTAAACACACACTGCAGTAATGTGATGATGCATGCTCTCACACAACAACACACACACACACACACACACACACACACACACACACACACACACACACACACACCACACACACACACACACACACACACACACACACACACACACACACACACACACAGGGCAGTATCAGGAGGCGCATGCAGACAGGAGGAAACACACATGTTCACATTATACACGCACACACACACACACACACGTTCACAAACACACACACACACACACACACACACACACACACACACACACACACACACACACACACACTGGGCTGTATCAGGAGGTGCATGCAGACAGGAGGAAACACACACACACACACACATGTTCACATTATACACGCACACACACACACACACACACACATGTCACACACACACACACACATACACACACACACACACACACACACACACACACACTGGGCTGTATCGGGAGGCGCATGCAGACAGGAGGAAACAAAGAAGTAAAGCGATGGAATATCTGACGGCGGATTTCTACAAATGATGAGGTTCAGGAGACGATTGACGACTCTCTGACTTCTTGTTCTTTGATAGATAAACTCCATCAAAGCAGAACATTACGTCTTCATTGCTGCCATGAAGCAAAACTAACATCACCTGAGTTCACAAAGCGTTACTGCAGTCAGAGGTGGAAGAAGTACTCCGATTTGTTGACGTACGTAAAAGTCCTGCATCTAAAATCCATTCGATCTATTCATAAAATACAATATATACTTTGCACACTTGTCTTGTGTTTATAAAATCTTGTGTGTATATAGTTTTAGTAGGATGTTGGTGTATTATAGTGTATTCTTACTAATTGTATAATCTATAGATGTCGTATAAACGTACTGTTTGTTTTACATGTATGACAAAGCAGCTGGAACAAAACAGTTTTTCACTTTGGGATCAATAAAGTACATCTAAACCAGGGGGGTCAAACCCAAGGCCCGGGGGCCAAATCCGGCCCGTGACTTCATTTCATGCGGCCCCACAAAAGCTTGCAAATAATATATGTGTATTATACGGGTACATGCCGCTTTACAGAAGCACGTTGCCCATAAACTACATCTCCCACAATGCATCTCAAATTAGACTTTTTTTCAAAATGTTACTTTTTTTTCAAAATGTCACTTCCTTTTTTTTTTCTTTTCCAGAACTTGGCTTTTATTTTAAAATTATTTTGTGACATTCTCACTGAAGAGACTTGCAATTATTTGCCCTAGACTTCTGCTTTCAGACGGAGTTAGTTATGAAGTTATTTCCCTATCCGATAATAATCCAATGCAGAGGCAATAATGTAATAATACATTATTTTATATATATGAAATATTTATATATGTATTTTTATATAGTCTTAAAGTTACAACCGGCCCGTTGAGTGCAACCATAATGCTGATGTGGCCCGTGATGAAATTGAGTTTGACCCCCCTGCTCTAATCTAATACGTAAAGAACAAAAAGTTTTCAAAAGTAAAAGTCCTGCATTTAAAATCTTACTAAAGTACAAAAATATCAAAATATAATATTTACTTTGCAGACTTGTTGACTAATTTCTAGGTTTTAGGACTCATTCCTGCACCACTCTGTATGTATGTGAGTAGAAGGGTTAGGGTTAGACGTCCTAAGAGTTTTAGTTTTTTTAGCTTTTAAGGGCATTTGTATAATTACATTTCAATTTAAATGTGGCTTAAATACTTAATAATACATTTGATTTATAAAGTAAAGGACAGTCAGTAAAATACTTGTCTCAAGCATCCTTTTTTAATGCTAAATTGTTTCTTAAAAATACTTATTTTTATTATCCTTGATTGTTTATTTTCGCACCACCAGATACCAAAGCAAATTCCAGTTTCAAAATGTTACTAAAAGTTACGTTCCACCTCTGACTGCGTTAAATAACAAGCAGAGAAAATGCCTTGTTATTTTTAACGTGTGTCAAACTAAAGGATGTTTTCCTGCTTCTGTCCTGCTTAAAGATGAATGGGTCCTCTGATGTTTAATCTACCTTATAGGCCAACTTGGAGGGGCATTTCTTCCCCAGGCCTAGAGGGGGCGACATGTTGGTCAACATCTCATACATGTCAGTGTAATGGATACGACCACTGGTGAGGAAGAGGAGGGAGTGAAGGATGGGAGGAAGGAGGGGAAGTGAATAAGGAGTTAAGGAGGAAAACAAGAGAGAGAGGGTTAATCCAAGGCCTCACACAGGAGCAGGGAGGAAGAGAGGAGAAATTAAAACAGGTTAATTCTTTCTATGCTGCCGGACGGGCATAGAAGCGTGGGAAACAGGAAGAGCAAAGAGATGGCCGACTCTGGATCTGAGCAGATCCAACAGGTAGAGAGACACAGGATTCCTCTGCTTTTTAGACTTATTACAATTAAAAACCTGCATGATAGTCTAGTTACCAGCATAGTGGAGCTGGACATGTTGAAGTGTTCTGATAGAAATGTACAGTAGGGTCACCAGCACATAGAAACTGCCGGATGCGAACTTGAACATGTTGGGCAATTTGCACAATTAGCACGAGTTGTGTTAATTAGCTTACTTAGCATCTGCAGACAGTAGCTAAAACAATGGCTTGGCCGATTTGGACAATTTAGGAGTGGTTTTGGGGGTTCTTGAAGATGTTGAATCCATTTATGACATTTTCAGGATCAAATATGGCAGTTTAAACCAGAAAATGGCCAAATTGGTGCTAGTAGTACTGCGCTGATTTTGATGAATATTGGGTCTATTGAAAAGTTGTAGGGGACTCAAAACAATGCAATTTTTTATCCTAATTTGGACAATTTTGGTGTGGTTTTGGAGATTATCGAGAATGTTGAGTCAATATCTGCCATTTTTAAGATCAACAATGGCAGTTTGAGTCCCCTAAAACTTCAAAGTTCATCAAAATCTGACCACAGGACTACAAATATGGCCACTTTCTGGTGAAAAAAGCCAATTTAGATTCTAAAAATGTCAGAAAATGTATTCAATAACCTCCGAAACCACAAAATTGTCAAATTCAGCCATTTTATTTTTACTATCTGCATATGCTAATTAACCAAATGTATGCTAATTGTGCTAACTTCCCAACATATGCAGGTTAGCATCCGGCAGTTTCTATGTGCTGGAGACCCTACTGTACATTTCTAACATAAAACTTTGGGGTACTCAACATTTCCAGGACTCTATGATCTGGTACGTCGAGGGTCTTCCTGTGTCTTAGTACCCTGAGCCTCATCATTCTTTGACTGCCTCTAAAAGTGAAGCAAGGCTGCAGGAAAGGAGAGGAAGGAAACGAGGAGGAGGAGGTGAGGAGGTGAGGAAGGATCCCACACTAAGAGTCAAACCTTGCAGGCCACCCTGTGAGGGCAGTTCCTCCCAAAGCCCAGCGGGGGGGAGATAGTGCGGACAACTTTGTACATTTCCTTATAATGGAGCCTGCCGCTGTTAGATAGAATAACATTCATTAGAGACTCAGATACGGCAGGGGGTCAGGAGCAGACCTCTCCTCACCGCAGCAGTTTCAGGACATTTAAACAGCCAAATAACAAATCTGTAATAAACACATACTTAGTTTAAACAAGCATTGCATTGTCAGGGGGTGTTTCTCAATGTCGAGGAAGGCTGCTCCAGAGCCACTATTTCAAGCATACGACGTCATCGAGTGCCGCCGAAGGACTGTTCCAATGTCCAGCATACTTGGAATCCTACCGAGGCCGGCGTACTTCGTAGCGAGAAATGTCGAGGCTGCACATGTGTAGACTCCGCGGTCTTAAAATCCCCACAATGCTTTGCGCACGGACCAATTTCCAAATCTTTGGCGGAAATTGCGCTCCATGTAAGGCGGGGCCTCGCATATGACGCACACCTGTTAGCCTGTTCCACCATTCTTTGTTTTCCGAGGCTAGGAAGGATTCTTGCCTCGCTTCTGAAGCAAGTGACTCGGAAGACATGTGCAACCAAGCAAGCGTCCTCGACATTGAGAAACACCCACGATCATGAGTAGATGTCTTTATATGCCGTCAATTATTTCTGTTGCAAGCCAATAGTGCGTTTGACATCCAATATTAGACACTAAGAAAGAAAATTGTAGTATATATTTGACATTGCATCGTCACAATTATGAGTGAAAGTCAGTTGTCTCCATAGCAACTAGTTTAGAAGCAATAGACATTAAGCAATAGATACTAAGAGAAAAACATATAAGTTGTACATTTACAAGAAAAATACTCAGTCTTTTAACCCTCCTGTTGTCTTCGGGTCAAATCTGACCGATTTACTACTTTCATCAATCATAACTTTTTTGTTTTACATTTGATTGCATTAAGGCTTCATGATATCCTTCACAGTCAGTAGACATTTGAATATATAAAATTGCTGATCACCACTTTCATTGAATTTTGGATGATTTAGTCAACTTTGTAACAACCATGGTGTTCCCGGTCAAACATGACCGCCATAAAGAAAAGGAATTAGTAACCATCCGGATCAGATCACACACACACACACACACACACACACACACACACACACACACACACACACACACACACACACACACACACACACACACACACACACACACACACACACACACACACACACACACACACACACACACACACACACACACACACACACACACACACACACACACACCACACACACACACACACACACACACACACACACCATGTATACATCACTTCAGGGGACATTACATTGACTTACATGCATTTCCTGGAGACTTATCCTAACCTTAACCATAACCAACACATGCCTAACACTAACCCTAACCCTAATCCTAAACCTAACCAAGTCTTCACCCTAAAATTAATGATTCCCCTTATGGGGACCTCCAATTTGTCCCCATAAGGGAAGCCAGTCCCCACACGTGACTATGTAAACAGATTTAGGTCCCCACAAGTATAGTAATGCTAGACCCACACACACACACACACACACACACACACACACACACACACACACACACACACACACACACACACACACACACACACACACACACACACAGAACAATTTGACACATTTCCCGCTCTTATGTGCCCCTCCCCCCACATGAATCACACCTGGCACACGCAATACATGTTCAGTGTCTGTTCTTTGTATATTTACTGCAGTTCTTCATGTATACCAGTATTCTGATACAATATGTACAGTTTGAAAGGGTGTTAAATGCAATGTGGTGGTGATTAATGGTTGTTGTGTTAATGTAATAGCAGTTAAAACAGGACCGGTCAAATTTGACCGCGAACACCAAAGTAAGGGGGGAGGGGAACAAAGACAATAGGAGGGAGAGAAAACTCACACATTTACAGGATGAAAACTAGTGTCCTATACTAGTGATACATAGTGAAAAAGTTCTGATGATGTAAAAACATATTTATGAGAAAGAAACTAAGAAAATCTGTGTTTGTTTTGTCTTTGATTTTCTACTCACACTTTAGTGAGTATTGTAGTTACAACAGTAATACATGACATAGCTGTAAGAAGGGGTTATATTCAGAGAAAATACATTTTACATTTCAAAATTAAAGTTGTTGATTTAGCAGAATATTACTCTGATTTAAGTCATTTAAGAGAAATAACAGCATTTTACAGGATAACAATTCAAATATACAAGTTTTTCTCCTCACATGTTGATGAAGAGGTGCAACATCGTGGTACTGTACATGTAAACAACATGTATTTAGTTTCATTACAGCCTGAAAGTGCAGGGTGAATGGGGAGTAAAGGCTCAGTGGTACATTTATGAAAACAGATAATTAACTAACTTCCCACAAAAGATTAATGCAGATTATATGTATCAGCATGACAGTTGACCACATAATTTGAAGCAGTGTAATCTGTAGCATCTGTATATTGCACAGCAGCAGTGTTAAAGAAACGTTAGCATTAATAGCGGCAGGCTCTCACCTGGCGGCGCGGTCGTACTCCCCCCAGATCCGGACAAACTCGTCCAGGTGATGAGGGCCGAGGATGGACGAGTCTCTGGTCAGATACTCAAAGTTATCCATGATCACCGCCACGAACAGATTCAGCATCTGAAGAGGGGAGGAGGGACGATATTCATTTATAGGAGGGGATGTGGGAAGTTAAGAGGGGGGGAATATCAGCCTCAGAGAAATAATCCTGTAAAAATAAATCAACAGAAGTATTGTTGTTGTGTTTAAAAGGAGTTATTATCTCTAGTTCACCCCCTCTAGGGCTGTTTATCAATCTAGATCGAATTTCTGAAGTAAACAGCTAATGTTGGGCTATAAAGGAACTACAGCACGGTCACATGACTTCACGTCACCACCGCTAAGCTAAAGGAGGCTAATGTTGGGCTATAAAGGAACTACAGCACGGTCATATGACTTCACATCACCACCGCTAAGCTAAAGGTGGCTAATGTTGGGCTATAAAGGAACTACAGCACGGTCACATGACTTCACGTCACCACCGCTAAGCTAAAGGAGGCTAATGTTGGGCTATAAAGGAACTACAGCACGGTCATATGACTTCACATCACCACCGCTAAGCTAAAGGTGGCTAATGTTGGGCTATAAAGGAACTACAGCACGGTCACATGACTTCACGTCACCACCACTAAGCTACAGGTGGCTAATGTTGGGCTATAAAGGAACTACAGCACGGTCACATGACTTCACGTCACCACCGCTAAGCTAAAGGTGGCTGATGTTGGGCTATAAAGGAACTACAGCACGGTCACATGACTTCACGTCACCACCGCTAAGCTAAAGGTGGCTAATGTTGGGCTATAAAGGAACTACAGCACGGTCACATGACTTCACATCACCACAACTAAGCTAAAGTTGGCTAATGTTGGGCTATAAAGGAACTACAGCACGGTCACATGACTTCACGTCACCATCGCTAAGCTAAAGGTGGCTAATGTTGGGCTATAAAGGAACTACAGCACGGTCACATGACTTCACGTCACCATCGCTAAGCTAAAGGTAGCTAATGTTGGGCTATAAAGGAACTACAGCACGGTCACATGACTTCACGTAGCCACCGCTAAGCTAAAGGTGGCTAATGTTGGGCTATAAAGTAACTACAGCACGGTCACATGACTTCACGTTACCACCGCTAAGCTAAAGGTGGCTAATGTTGGGCTATAAAGGAACTACAGCACGGTCACATGACTTCACGTCACCACTGCTAAGCTAAAGGTGGCTAATGTTGGGCTATAAAGTAACTACAGCACGGTCACATGACTTCACGTTACCACCGCTAAGCTAAAGGTGGCTAATGTTGGGCTATAAAGGAACTACAGCACGGTCACATGACTTCACGTCACCACTGCTAAGCTAAAGGTGGCTAATGTTGGGCTATAAAGTAACTACAGCACGGTCACATGACTTCACGTCACCACTGCTAAGCTAAAGGTAGCTAATGTTGGGCTATAAAGGAACTACAGCACGGTCACATGACTTCACGTCCCCACCGCTAAGCTAAAGGTGGCTAATGTTGGGCTATAAAGTAACTACAGCACGGTCACATGACTTCACGTTACCACCGCTAAGCTAAAGGTGGCTAATGTTGGGCTATAAAGGAACTACAGCACGGTCACATGACTTCACGTCACCACCGCTAAGCTAAAGGTGGCTAACGTTGGGCTGTAAAGGAACTACAGCACGGTCACATGACTTCACGTCACCACTGCTAAGCTAAAGGTGGCTAATGTTGGGCTATAAAGTAACTACAGCACGGTCACATGACTTCACGTCACCACCGCTAAGCTAAAGGTGGCTAATGTTGGGCTATAAAGGAACTACAGCACGGTCACATGACTTCACGTCACCACTGCTAAGCTAAAGGTGGCTAATGTTGGGCTATAAAGTAACTACAGCACGGTCACATGACTTCACGTCACCACCGCTAAGCTAAAGGTGGCTAATGTTGGGCTATAAAGGAACTACAGCACGGTCACATGACTCTCTAGTTTTACCAGGAAGGAGCTGAAGAAGATGAAGGAGACGAAGTAGAAATAAGCAAAGTCAGAACCACAGCCCCCCTCCTGGTCGGATGTTGGTACTGCGGGGGGGAGCGAGGTGTCCGTCTCACACTTCTGTCCCCCGAGACATGACAACATTATCTCCTGCCATGACTCTCCCGTGGCACTCCTGCGCACACACACACACACACACACACACACACACACACACACACACACACACACACACACACACACACACCACACACACACACACACACACACACACACAACACACACACACACACACACACACACACACACACACACACACACACACACACACACACACACACACACACAGTCACAGTCATCAGGTATTGTTCAAAATAAAAAGTTAAAATATTCCCTTTTTTGTTTTGTTTGCAGAGGTTTTGTTTTACCTGAACAGCAGCATCAGAGCTCCAGAGAAAGACTTGAAGTTGTTGTGCTGCGTGATGTGAGTCTCCTCGTTCAGCTTAATGTTCCCAAACACCTGATTAAAACACAGAAACACCAGAGATGTCAAAAGTACACACATCCTTTACTCAAGTAGAAGTACAGATACTCGTGTTGAAAGATACTCTGGTAAAAGTAGAAGTACTGACTAAACTTCTTTACTCAAGTGAAAGTAAAGAGGCTTTGAAATGTACTTCAGTAAAAAGTACCCATAACTAGCAGCTGCTTTAAAGAGTACCTGACCTCCCTTTATATTAATAGAACAATAATGTCATTGTTAGCTAATGAATGTTTCCATGCTGAACAACGGCAACATGACAACGTTTCCATTGGTCCCTCTTCTTTAGAGAAGACCAGGAAATGATGGATACACGGATCGTGTTCAAATCAATAGGCACGCAATGACTCTAAAGAATAATGATCACGCATCAAACACACATTCAGACTAAAGGAACCAGCTGTTTGGGAAATGAGAGAAGTAGAAAGTACAGGTATTTGAGTTCAACATGTAAGAAGTAGAAAGTACAGGTATTTGTGTTCAACATGTAAGAAGTAGAAAGTACAGGTATTTGTGTTCAACATGTAAGAAGTAGAAAGTACAGGTATTTGAGTTCAACATGTGAGAAGTAGAAAGTAAAGGTATTGTGTTCAACATGTAAGAAGTAGAAAGTACAGGTATTTGAGTTCAACATGTAAGAAGTAGAAAGTACAGGTATTTGATAGTTCAACATGTGAGAAGTAGAAAGTACAGGTATTTGTGGTTCAACATGTAAGAAGTAGAAAGTACAGGTATTTGAGTTCAACATGTAAGAAGTAGAAAGTACAGGTATTTGTGTTCAAAATGTAAGAAGTCAAAGTAAAAAGTCATCAGAAAAATAAGTAGTGGAGTAAAGTACTGATACCAGAGAAACGTACTTAAGTACAGTAACAAAGTATTTTTACTCCACTACTTCCCACCTCTGAGAAACACACATATAGTATTATACTCATTTTGCGTGGATAAAAATGCTATATGTAGTATATTAAACCCCCCCTCCACAGTGTGTGTTGCTCACCTGCATGCCGATGATGGCGTAGATGAAGAACAACATGGCGATGAGCAGGCAGACGTACGGCAGAGCTTTGAAGGACTGAACGAAGGTCCACAGAAGGATCCGGATGGTGTAACCCTGACGCAGGAGTTTGATCAGACGAGCCGCTCGAAACAGCTTCAGGAAGCTCATGTTGAACGTGTCCACGAACTGCAGGAGGACACGCGGGGAAACTGGGGTTAGGGTACAGGTGCAGCTCATCAAAACAGAAATACCTCACAGCTTCTTGGTTTCCTTTTTGTGTTTCTTCAGTACAATATGTGTAATTTCAATAAGGACTGCCGATGGAAATGAGCTATTAGCTCAAATCTGGCATAATTCATCTCTTCTCTTTTCTGAGATTAATGTATTCGTATGTGTAAGGGAAACTTCTGCAGCAATGGAGAGTCAGGACTCAGAGAGACACGAGGAGAGTTGTATATAGTTTATTCACAAGTATAACGGCCGGAGAATTCATATCACAAGTCACAGCAGCCAAAGGTTCTGACTGCACGGGTGGGTTGCCATGTCAATTCTGCCCAGCCTATCTCTGGATAGACCTTTTAACTAGTTCAGCGAGAGTAAACAACATATTTGGGGAGATAGACTAAACAGCTGGGCCCACTGAATCACTTGCGTCTGACCCTTAATGGCCTCAAAGCCAGTGTTCTCACAGCCGTAAACCATTTTGTGACCGAGAGTTGAACTGGTTTATCAAGATAGCTGGAGCCTCCCATTCCTTAAGAGAGATAACAGAGCCAGGGTTGGTCGTAAATGTCAACACACAGAAAAGGTTAAATATCTAGGAGTAAAGACAGAAATATTCTTTGACAGTATGCATGGTCCTTGTTGAAATACATACATAATAAAATACATAATAGATTTATATTGTACTCACACTGCGTCACTGCATTTACATTTGAGAAAAAACTGCAACCACTTTGTTCACTATTGTGATGTATATAGTATGTACAGTATATAGTATTCTGACATATTTAGTATTGTGCATTCTTTAGATACTGTATGCAATATATTATCATAATATATTTTGTTAATTTTTAAATTCATAAGCAATGCTTGTCTGTGTATTCTGTCACAAAATCTGTGTTAATACCTAAATGTTGCACCTGTTATAAATATGTGTGTGTTTAGGTATTAATCAGTATTTTCATACACACACAGTTTTAAAATGCATGCCTGCTCGTATTAGAGTATGGAGTGTTTCAGTATTTCATTTGACATCCTGTGTTGTGCCCATTTTATGTTTTTGTTGTTGTTTGATTGAGGCTGTGTGAGCAGTCAGTTTTCGACCACACACTGTTTTGGGTTTAATCAATTGTATTGATAGCAAGAATGTCGTGGTCGTAATTTGAGAGCGCACGAGTCCAACTCAAAATCACAGTATCAATCCATGGTGAGTGGCAATAGTCACGTCCCCTATTGTAGTCTAAGGGCCCTTCTCACTTCGGTTAAATGGAATCCTTGCGTCGTATAAACTGAGGAGTGACTCCCGTGAGGTTCATGTGTTTTCTTCACTCCGCTGTGAAACTGCTCTCATGTCAAGAAGCATCAGATCAGTGCATGCGCTGCATCGTCCAATCAGTGAGCGATACACAGTAAGGGGGCGGGGCGAGTGTCTGAGGATTTCATCGAAGGATGGTCTGGTGGTTCCTCGATTATCGCTCCTCCATTATCGCTCCTCGCTCCTCCGGCAGAAATAAGACTTCCGGTGAGACCGAGAGCGAGGAGCGAGGAAATGAAAAATAAGAGAAGTGAGAAGGGCCCTATATGTATATGTTTGACTTATTCCTGCACTTTATTATTGCTCTAAAACCCTTTTTATTTCTTTTAATGTCTGAGGTGAATGTGTGTTGCATTGTTGGAGGAGCCTGGGATTTAAATGTCTCTTCGCCGTTTGACAATAAAGCCTTTGAACCTTGATATAAAAGCAAGAGGTTAAAAGTTCAAGGGGCGAAGTTATGTAGTACAACCTTACTGTATGAATACTGCATGCTACAGGAGGAACAGCTGCAGTACAAATACAAATAAAATCCCGATGTTTTTCTTACCTGCACATCCACCACGATCTCTGTGATGCTTCCTAAAACAGTGATGAAGTCAAAGATGTTCCACGTGTCTCGAAAGTAGTTCTGCAGAAACGGTAGAGATTCTGTGAGAGGGATTTTGAAATCCACATTCATGCAGGTTGGTAATCTTTTTTATTCCTCACCAGAAAACCAAAGGCCATGATCTTGAGGACGCACTCCACAGAGAAGAGGACGGTGAACGCCGTGTTCAGGTGCTTCAGAACGGCCTCGTACGCTGGAGGGGCGGAGTAATACTGAGCAAAGGGGAGACATACGTGTTAGGAGAAAGATACAGAAAGTGGATTACTTAAAGGCCCCCTATTATACTGTTTCTCATCAATATATCACAGGTCTCAGATATATCCAGAGCCTGTCTCTGATTGGCTGAAACACCAAACAGATCATGTCAGCATTACCCATAATCCCCTCTGTTTCAGCCCTGTTTCCAAAGTGCTGATTCTCTGTCTGTTACTTTAGATGAAAATAAGGAGCCCCTCCCCACGCCCCTCTGAGAGACATTTGGTTACAAAGAACTCAATGGAGCTCTAGGAGGAGATTCAGGTGATAAGGGGGGGGGGGGGTTACCTTGGTTGCTGATTGGCTAATGGTTACACAAGACTAAACATCGTTATGACATCATCAAGTGGCCAAAATCTGATCAGCTCATTTTCAGACAGGTTTTTATAGAAATGGATCAAAAAGAGAGAGAATCTTTGTTCCTGAAACTTTCAGAGTCTCTTTCCACAGAGGGGACACATGTTGATGTAGAAGAGACATGAAGAAGAGGGGATACATGTTGATGTAGAAGAGACATGAAGAAGAGAGGACACATGTTGATGTAGAAGAGACATGAAGAAGAGGGGACACATGTTGATGTAGAAGAGACATGAAGAAGAGGGGACACATGTTGATGTAGAAGAGACATGAAGAAGAGGGGACACATGTTGATGTAGAAGAGACATGAAGAAGAGGGGACACATGTTGATGTAGAAGAGACATGAAGAAGAGGGGACACATGTTGATGTAGAAGAGACATGAAGAAGAGGGGACACATGTTGATGTAGAAGAGACATGAAGAAGAGGGGACACATGTTGATGAAGAAGAGACATGGAAGAAGAGGGGACACATGTTGATGTAGAAGAGACATGAAGAAGAGGGGACACATGTTGATGTAGAAGAGACATGAAGAAGAGAGGACACATGTTGATGTAGAAGAGACATGAAGAAGAGGGGACACATGTTGATGTAGAAGAGACATGAGAAGAGGGGACACATGTTGATGTAGAAGAGACATGAAGAAGAGGGGGACACATGTTGATGTAGAAGAGACATGAAGAAGAGGGGACACATGTTGATGTAGAAGAGACATGAAGAAGAGGGGACACATGTTGATGTAGAAGAGACATGAAGAAGAGGGGACACATGTTGATGTAGAAGAGACATGAAGAAGAGGGGACACATGTTGATGTAGAAGAGACATGAAGAAGAGGGGACACATGTTGATGTAGAAGAGACATGAAGAAGAGGGGACACATGTTGATGTAGAAGAGACATGAAGAAGAGAGGGGACACATGTTGATGTAGAAGAGGACATGAAGAAGAGGGACACATGTTGATGTAGAAGAGACATGAAGAAGAGGGGACACATGTTGATGTAGAAGACCATGAGAAGAGGGGACACATGTGATTAGAAGAGACATGAAGAAGAGGGGACACTGTATGATGAAGAAGAGACATGAAGAAGAGGGGACACATGTTGATGTAGAAGAGACATGAAGAAGAGGGGACACATGTTGATGTAGAAGAGACATGAAGAAGAGGGGACACATGGTGATGTAGAAGAGACATGAAGAAGAGGGACACATGTTGATGTAGAAGAGACATGAAGAAGAGGGGACACATGTTGATGTAGAAGAGACATGAAGAAGAGGGGACACATGTTGATGTAGAAGAGACATGAAGAAGAGGGGACACATGTTGATGTAGAAGAGACATGAAGAAGAGGGGACACATGTTGATGTAGAAGAGACATGAAGAAGAGGGGACACATGTTGATGTAGAAGAGACATGAAGAAGAGGGGACACATGTTGATGTAGAAGAGACATGAAGAAGAGGGGACACATGTTGATGTAGAAGAGACATGAAGAAGAGGGGACACATGTTGATGTAGAAGAGACATGAAGAAGAGGGGACACATGTTGATGTAGAAGAGACATGAAGAAGAGGGGACACATGTTGATGTAGAAGAGACATGAAGAAGAGGGGACACATGTTGATGTAGAAGAGACATGAAGAAGAGGGGACACATGTTGATGTAGAAGAGACATGAAGAAGAGGGGACACATGTTGATGTAGAAGAGACATGAAGAAGAGGGGACACATGTTGATGTAGAAGAGACATGAAGAAGAGGGGACACATGTGATGTAGAGAGACATGAAGAAGAGGGGACACATGTTGATGTAGAAGAGACATGAAGAAGAGGGACACATGTTGATGTAGAGAGACATGAAGAAGAGCGGGGACACATGTTGATGTAGAAGAGACATGGAGAAGAGGGGACACATGTTGATGAGAAGAGACATGAAGAAGAGGGGACACATGTTGATGAAGAGAGACATGAAGAAGAGGGGACACATGTTGATGTAGAAGAGACATGAAGAAGAGGGGACACATGTTGATGTAGAAGAGACATGAAGAAGAGGGGACACATGTTGATGTAGGAGAGACATGAAGAAGAGGGGACACATGTTGATGTAGGAGAGACATGAAGAAGAGGAGGACACATGTTGATGTAGAAGAGACATGAAGAAGAGGGGGACACATGTTGATGTAGAAGAGACATGAAGAAGAGAGGACACATGTTGATGAAGAAGAGACATAAAGAAGAGGGGACACATGGTGATGTAGAAGAGACATGAAGAAGAGGGGACACATGTTGATGTAGAAGAGACATGAAGAAGAGGGGACACATGTTGATGTAGAAGAGACATGAAGAAGAGGGGACACATGTTGATGTAGGAGAGACATGAAGAAGAGGAGACACATGTTGATGTAGAAGAGACATGAAGAAGAGGGGACACATGTTGATGTAGGAGAGACATGAAGAAGAGAGGACACATGTTGATGAAGAAGAGACATAAAGAAGAGGGGACACATGGTGATGTAGAAGAGACATGAAGAAGAGGGGACATATGTTGATGTAGAAGAGACATGAAGAAGAAGAGGGGACACATGTTGATGGAGAAGAGACATAAAGAAGAGGGGACACATGTTGATGTAGGAGAGACATGAAGAAGAGAGGACACATGTTGATGAAGAAGAGACATAAAGAAGAGGGGACACATGGTGATGTAGAAGAGACATGAAGAAGAGGGGACATATGTTGATGTAGAAGAGACATGAAGAAGAAGAGGGGACACATGTTGATGGAGAAGAGACATAAAGAAGAGGGGACACATGTTGATGTAGAAGAGACATGAAGAAGAAGAGGGGACACATGTTGATGGAGAAGAGACATGAAGAAGAGGGGACACGTGTTGATGTAGAAGAGACATGAAGAAGAGGGGACACATGTTGATGTAGAAGAGACATGAAGAAGAGGGGACACATGTTGATGTAGAAGAGACATGAAGAAGAGGGGACACATGTTTGATGAGATAGAGACATGAAGAGAGGGGACCACCATGTTGATGTAGAAGAGACATGAAGAGAAGAGGGGACACATGTTGATGTAGAAATGGAGACATGAAGAGAGGGGACAACATGTTATGCAGAAGAGACATGAAGAAGAGGGGACACATGTTGATGTAGAAGAGACATGAAGAAGAGGGGGAACATGTTTGATGTAGAAGAGACACATGGAGAAGAGGGGACACATGTTGGATGAAGAGAGACCATGAAGCAGAGGGGACACATGTTGATGTAAGAAGAGACATGAGAAGAGGGGACACATGTTGATGTTAGAAGCGACATGAAGGAAGAGGGGACACCTGTTTGATGTAGAAGAGACATGAAGAAGAGGGGACAACATGTTGATGTAGGAGCAGACATGAAGAAGAGGAGGGACACATGTTTGATGAAGAAAGAGCATAAAGAAGAGGGGACACATGTTGATTAGATAGACATGAGAAGATGGACACCTGTTGATGTAGAAGAGACAAGAAGAAGAGGGGACACATGTTGATGAAGAAGAGACATGAAGAAGAGGGACACATGTTGATGAAGAAGAGACATGAAGAAGAGGGGACACATTTGATGTAGAAGACATGAAGAAGAGGGGACACATGTTGATGTAGAAGAGACATGAAGAAGAGGGGACACATGTTGATGTAGAAGAGACATGAAGAAGAGGGGACACATGTTGATGTAGGAGAGACATGAAAGAGGGGACACATGTTGATGTAGAAGAGACATGAAGAAGAGGGGACACATGTTGATGTAGGAGAGACATGAAGAAGAGAGGACACATGTTGATGAAGAAGAGACATAAAGAAGAGGGGACACATGTTGATGTAGAAGAGACATGAAGAAGAGGGGACACATGTTGATGAAGAAGAGACATGAAGAAGAGGGGACACATGTTGATGAAGAAGAGACATGAAGAAGAGGGGACACATGTTGATGTAGAAGAGACCTGAAGAAGAGGGGACACATGTTAATGTAGAAGAGACATGAAGAAGAGGGGACCATGTTGATGTAGGAGAGACATGAAGAAGAGAGGACCACATGTTTGATGAAGAGAGACATAAAGAAGAGGGGACACATGTTGATGTAGAAGAGACATGAAGAAGAGGGGACACATGTTGATGTAGAAGAGGACATGAAGAAGAGGGGACACATGTTGATGAAGAAGAGACATGAAGAAGAGGGGAACACATGTTGAATGAAGAAAGAGACATGAGAAGAAGGGGACACATGTTGATGTAGAAGAGACATGAAGAAGAGGGGACACATGTTTGATAATAAGAGACATGAAAGAAGAGGGGACACATGTTGATGAAGAAGAGACATGAAGAAGAGGGGGGACACATGTTGATGTAGAAGAGACATTGAAGAAGAGGGGACACATGTTTGATGTAGAAGAGAACATGAAGAAGAGGGGACACATGTTTGATGTAGAAGAGACATGAAGAAGAGGGGACACATGTTGATGAAGAAGAGACATAAAGAAGAGGGGACACCATGTTGATGCTAAGAAGCGACATGAAGAAGAGGAATGTGATAGGAAGAGACATGAAGAAGAGGAGGACAC